ATGTTTCCTCATCCTCAGTTCAACTTTACTTATGTTGGGGATCCTCATCACTGTCATCTTCATCATCTTCCGGAAGCAAAAGAGAAAATCATGAGTAAAATTCGTCGATGATTCATTCATCATTTGTTGTCTGCATAACAACATTAAAGGTCGCTGATGAATGATTAAATAAAATTTTAATGAATAATTTATTGCGGTTAGATTTTGTTTTAATGCTAATTTTTACCTTCTTTATCCCTTTCACTATCTCACTCACAGACAAAAAACACAAAATATATGTTATATGTCAGACCAGTAACTTTTACCATATGTTTTTGGCAGATCAAAAGCTTTCATGCGAAGTTCATGAAATTGTTGGAAGGATAAATGGAAGATTTGGAACTCTTACAACTGTTCCAATACATCATTTAGTCAGTGCCCATGCCTCAATAATTTGAATTGTAGCCATTGTTTGAGCCCCATTTTGGGGGAAGAATATATTTTGAATAGTAGATTGATGTCGAATGTGTGGTTAAAAATTAAGGAAAAGATTTAGATTTGTGTGTAATCTTATTTTATTGAAGAATGTATGGTTGAAAATGAGTTTTGAAAGAATGAATTTTTAGAAGAATGGAACTCAAAACAAGGGCATAATAGACTTTTTTGCATGTTGATATTAAGAGTTAAAATTTTATTTTGATATTATTGCTACATTGGTTCCTTTGAAAAAATGTTGTCAATATGTGAAGGTCTTGATTGGAAAAACTCTACATTGTCTCTAGTATTTTCCAATAGTTCAAACTCAAACTTCTTAATTTTTGTTAGTTCTGCACTTTGTTATTTGCAAACAGCAAGCTATAGCCTAAACGTGCTATTATAAGCATTATAAATGTCCTAAATTTGGTTTCTCTAGTCTGACAAAACTTCGCACGTGGAGTTAGTAATTTTTCAGTTGGTTGTCCCTAAAAAAAGTCACATGTAAATAATTACAACTCCATACATTATACATAGATCTTTGCAAAAAAAATTAGAAAGAGTATGTTTTGTAAATTTCGTTTCTTTATTTAAATATTGCACTATCATCTACTAATAGCTGATGCACTTTCTTATTTCAGGACCGTTCGCTCGATTTCCATGCATTATGTGCACTATATGCTGTAACTGGTATACCTTTTCTCACCATTGGTCTTGGACATCTCTTTTCATACGTTAACATTTGTCCAGATATTTTAAAGACATTGTCATTCTATGAAAGAAGTGACATCTTGTTGCTAAAATAAGATTGAACAGTTTAGTTATTGATGCAATAAAATGTTAAAATGGAAAACATCATCAATAGCAATGCTGAATTGACTAGGAACTTTTCCCATCTTGCCTCTTAGAATTGTCATTCTTCTAACATATCATATTTTGACCACAGAACTTATTAATTTGCACCATTAACTTTTATTTGATTATTTTCTTCCTGTTGAACTTCTCTCTTTTAGATGTTGCTCTGGTTACATCTTTAAGGGATGGAATGAATCTCGTGAGCTATGAGTTTGTGGCCTGCCAAGCTTCAAAGAAAGGGGTGCTTATCCTAAGTGAGGTAACTACTTAACCTTCCTTCTAACAAGTTGTTAATTATTCTTGTGTTCTAAGATCAAATAGGTTACTTCACTTTTCTTTTAGTTTATTATTACTGCTTCCATTTTATTCTGTGGATGACCCCCAAGAAATTTGTGTATGGTTTTCCCAGCCAAAT